TTTTGTTTTAATTTAGCAGATTTTAATGAGATGGAAAACCTACCTGATGGGGGCTGGAGCACTCACTGCATATCTTGGTGAGTGTTTTTTTTTTTTTTTCTTTTAAGGTGGTGGCTGTGTGCTGTCGAGTCAATTCCAACTCTGAGGCTGTAAATCTTTATAGGAGCAGAAAGCCTTGTCTTTCATTTATGTTGTTGAGTGTTGTCAAGTTGTTTCTGGCTCATAACAACCCTGTTTAGAGTTTCCGAGATGTGGCTGGTGAGCTTGATCTGCTGACAGTGCGGTTCAAACTGACCTTTCAGTCTGTTTAGCTTCTCTGTATTTGTGGGTCGGCCTAATTTGAGTTATCTCTAGAATTAGTATAAGTGATAAACTCAGGCTTAATTCTCTCCATCCTTTTCATTTTAGCACTAACAAATTTACTCAGTTTTCTTTTCAGATTATATTTAGCTGTTTTAAAAACTCATTCTCTTGGAAGGATAATGTTTTCACTAGATAGAAGCTACATTTTCTGAGGACGCATCCAATAGAAATGTTTGAGAGTAGCAGCATAGATATAAACCTTCACTCAGCAGAATCCCTGTGGTTACTGGAGTTGGGTTGGAAAGCCAACATCATAACACAAAAATAGTCATTAATGAAAAGACTAAGAAAATCAGTTCACTCCAACACAACTCTTTCCCGTCCCTTGAAACCGCATGAACCATCCATTTCCTGTCTTTTTGGCTGTACAGCCAACAACAAATTAAAAAGTATAGTTGTCTGTGTTAGATGAACTGTAGGACTTCATGTAGTAGGTTACAAGAATTCAAGAACTGATTCAGCCACTTGCTACAAACATCTCTACAAATGAAGCTCTGACAGAACCAGCTGACACCTAAAGAGGAATCTATAATGTTGATGGAATGGATACTTCAAAAGAGAATTATTTGATCGAGACAAGTCTTTTGGAAAAAATGATGAAGCCATTGACTATTACAAAAATTGTGGTTTATAAAGCACTTGCAAAAATAAATTGCACTGTTATAAAAAAAAAGAAAAAAATTATTTGCATTGGTCTTGCAAAATTATATCATGCAATCTACGATATCATTTTTATCATCAAGGCCATATATTCCAACAACTGATCCTTCGTCTTTGTTTCCATCCTTCACATTCCAATCAGCAGTAATTGTCTCTTCATCTTGATTGCATCTTTGATCAATTTCAGTCTGAAAAAGTTGGTAGAATTCTTCAATTTCATCATCACTGGCTTTAGTGATTGGTGCATCAGTTTGAATAGTAGTGGTATTGATGGGCCTTCCTGGTAAGCATGTGGATGTTATCCTATCACAAATAGTATTGTACTTCCAGAAAGATCTTGAAATGTTATTTTTTATGATGAATGCGACTCTTTTCCTCTTTGATCTGTCATTTCCGGCATAATGAATCATATGATTGTCAGATTCAAAATGGCCAATACCCGTCCATTTCTGCTCACTAATGCTTAGGATATCAGTCTTTGTATTCCATTTCATTTTTGAGAACATCCAATTTTCATAAATTGATACTTCATTAAATTCCATGTCCCAATTATTAATGGACATTTGCAGCTGTTTCTCTTCATTTTGAGTTGTGTCCCACCAACAAATGAAGATTCCAAAAGCCTTACTCCATTTGCATCATCATGGAACTCTACTTTGATAAGACAGGTCTTTCCCAGTCACATTTTGAGAGTCTTCCAGCCAGTAGGGCTGATCTTCTGGCAGTATATCTGACAGTGTTCTGCTTTTCATAAGGTTTTCAATTCCTAACTATTCAGAAGCAGTCCACCTCTCCTTCTTCCTAGTCTGTCTTAGTCTGGAAGCTCTGATGAAACCTGCCTACCATTGTTGGCCCTACTGGTATTTAAAATAACTTTAGTATAGCTTCCACCATCACAGCAACCTGTAAGTCACCACAGTACAACAAACTGACAGAAAAAAGTGGTTAAAATCCTTGGTCCATGTAAAAACTGTTATTTCATGTAGGGCAGCATTCCTATAAACTTGCTGCAAAGTATTAATGATTTGGGAAGATGCTAGCTCGAGTCTGTTAAAAATTTCATTTGTTTTGTTAAAAATTTCATTTGTTTTGACCTCAAAATATTTTTTTTTCTGCATTGCACAATAAATATTCTTTTTTTTTTTTTTTTTTGGAAGGCAAGTGTATTACGGATAGAACCTGTCTGCAGTCATTTACTGACGAGATAGATTTATACACATTTTGTTTGTAATATACCAATGTAGTATATATATACTGGATCTTTATTAGCAATACTTTTTGACTTACCCTCATATACAGCATTTATTCACCAGTTAAATGAAAAATGCCTGCATCTAATTAGTTGTGTTTTTTTGCATGTAGGTATTACTTTTACATCTGATTTACAGGATTTAATGATTTCCTGTGCACATGTGTGCTACAGGGTCATTAATGTAAGCACTGACACCTATTCTCAGTTTCCGGGATACTGAAATGAGTAGAGGTATAGTCCCTGACCTCCAATTATCCAGCAACTGGTAGTGGAGAATGTCATCTATACGAATACTTGTGATACATTTTTATAGATTATGTAATAGATACATGAAACAAGCAATATAGGAGTCCCTACTAAAGTGGTACATATTAACTAAAGTTTATATGGGAAAAGAATTATGCATTCCACTGTTGTTGTCATCGTTGCTGTTAAATGCTGTCCAGTCATTTGCAGCTCATAGACACCCTGGTGAATTTGAACCTCAGACCGTGCGGTTCAGTGCATTATCCCACAGCGCCACACCAGGACTCCCATTCCACTGTTGTTATTGTTGTTGTTGTTATGTGCTGTGGAGTGGGTTCCAACCCATAGTGCCATTCCACTGTAGCACAGTAAAATTTGCTGGATATAAAGCCAAACACATTTTTTTTTTTCTGGTCTGAGAGGCCTGCTAATTTACTATATTGAGCCTCACTTTTCTCATCTGTAAAGTGAGGTTAATAATACTCACTTTGCAGCTCCAGGTGTGAACTCCTGGTATGGCACTATAGAATAAGCACTGGACTGTGAACCACAAGGTCAGCGATTCAAACCCCACCAGCGGCTCCTCAGAAGCATTGTACAGGGTCACTATGAGTCGGAACCAACTCGACAGCACTTAACAACAGTAACAATATGGGGAATCAGCAAACAGCTCCTTTCTCAATCATAGGCCCTTTTTGTAAGAAGCCTTGTGTGCCCAGGAAACATGTTGTTGGTTACTGGGTAGAAGGGGCCAAAGGAGAGAACCGTTCTTGTGGGGTCGCATGGGGACAGAGTTTCCATTCTGAACAACAGCCAGGAAAACAGTACACCTGGGTCGAGTATTGTCCTGGTCCCCCTGGGAGCTTATTTTGACAGTGGATAGTGTATCTTTTCCCAGCAAAGCCTTTGCATAGTTTACTGTCCTTACAAGTGGACTGAGGGACCTGGTCAAGTTACAGACTTCTTCAGACTGCTTTATACCATGCGTTTCGTGTCTCGGATTGACTTGATTCCTCAGGACTCGGCCTAATTCTCAAGTCAGTGGGAAAAAAAAAATTATGTAAGCTCCACACTATTAAGATTTCCAGGATTCTTTCCCAATAGATAAGCAAATGAGCTGATACTTAATAGTTAATTTCAGGGAATGGAAGTTCTTTCCATTTGAATTAAAATTTTGTGTGGATCATCAGTAACTGTTATGTAGATGTTGTCTTAAATTATTCTTAAACCCTCCAAGTGAGGCACACTGGAGAGAAAGAGAGTGTTGAAATAAAGCATAACTAATTTGACGGCACTTAACAACAAGAACAATTAGCCATTGGGAAGTGCAGTGGCGCTGTAGGATAAGCAATGGACTGTGAAACATAGGATGCTAGTTCCAGCCCACCAGCCACTTTGGGAGAGAGATGAGGCTTTCTGCTCCCAGTGATGTAAAGCCTTGGAAACCGTATACAGGGCCGTTATGAGATGGAACCAACTCAGTGGCACTTAACAACACCAGTTAGCCGTTACAGTCTTACGTGACTCATAGCCTTGAAACCAAATCAAACCAGATAAGTTATTATGTTGTTTGTGATCATTTTGTTTGTTGTTACATGCCTTAGAGTCGCTTCTGACTCATAGTGACCCTATACATAACAAATTGAAACTCTATCTGGTTCTGTGCCAAACTCAAAATTGTTACGACCATTGCGCCTGCCACTGTATCCACTCATCTATTTGGGGGGGCGGAGGGGGTGTCTTCCTTTTTTTTTTTTTTTTTCCCCCTGATCCTTCCCTTTGTTGTTGTTTTTGTTAAGTGCTGTCGAGTCAATTCCAACCCATAGCAACCCTGTATATGGCTTCTCAAGAGCAGCTGGTGAGCTTGAACCGCTGACCTTGCAGCTCAAACTGACTTTGCAGTCCAGTGCATTAATCAATAGCGCCACACCAGGACTCTGACCCTTCACTTTACCAAGCATCATTTCTGTCTCCAGGAACTGGTCCCTTCTGATAACAGGTCCAAAGTATGAGAGACTAAGTCTCACCATCTTGACTTCAAAGGAACCTTCTGGCTGTACTTCTTCCAACACAGATTTGTCTGTTCTCTGGCAGTCCATGGTGCTTTTAATATTCTTCTCCAACACCATATCTAAAATGCATCAATTCTTCTTTGCTATCTTGCATTCGTCCTTATTCATTGTCCAACTTTCACATGTATATGAGACTATTGGAAATACCATGGCTTCTCATTACGCACAGTAGTAATCAATTCATGCTTTTTGAACTTTTGACTTCACAGTGGTTTAATCTGTAATGAGGATGTGAGTGTTAACCCCCTTGCCAGAGGTCACAGTCGGAGAGATGTTATTGAATTCTCTACCTGTCTGACTCTGATCCCCTATCAAAGAATCATGGAGTACAAAATTCATTGAGAGCTGGCTCGGTTATGATGCGTAAGTTGTGGAGCACCAAAGTCATGTCCTGTTGTTTCTTCTAGGAGAGAAACCCTACAAGTGTACCTGGGAAGGCTGTACCTGGAAGTTTGCACGTTCGGATGAACTGACACGGCATTACCGCAAACACACGGGAGTGAAGCCATTCAAGTGTGCGGACTGCGATCGAAGCTTTTCCCGGTCAGATCATTTGGCGCTGCACCGCCGGAGGCATATGCTGGTGTGAGGATCGCTACCTGTCCAGCTGAGCGTAAGAGCTGGATCTCTTAGTGGCACCTGATTCAGCAGGGCTGGATCCCCTTCACAGTGTTAACACAAAAAGGCATCATCATCCCACGATGTCTGAAACCAGAGCAGGAAATGAAGTAGCACTTCTCCTTTTGGTCTGAAGGTAACCCCATCATGAGTACCCGAGAACCGTCTTCACGCTGGCCTGGGAGATCAGTGGCGTAAATGCTGAGGAGACAGGCATTGTTTTCCATGCTGTGTACTCTGCCATTTAAAGATGTTTGTAGCTTGTACATTTGCTAAGCTGTCAGACATTTATTATTGATACTTTAAAGGTCAACTACCACAAATTGATGGCTAGAGCAAGACCTTTTAAATTTGGATTCTTCCTCCACCCACCCACCCCTTCACCCCTTTTTACAAAAATTTTAGTTACTGTCTAAGTAAGATAGAACACACATCCAATCTGTTACCAGCAAGCAGCATGAAAGTAGAAAAGAAGAAGCTGTTGGAGAGGTCCCATTACCTGCAAATAAAGGGGCACTCAGCAGCCCTTTGCAATAGTGATGACGGCAGTTCACTATCACCCGCAACTTGTCATCATGCCATGCCCTGAAGAAAACCAACATTGAACCTTTCATTTGTTTGTTGTTGATTGTTTTTGTTTTGTTTTTATTCTGTTTGTTCATCTGTTCAAGCGGAGGGGCAGCGACATTTCAGTTGAAGTCTAGTCCCCGTGTCTGGCCTGGCATGGACTGGCACAGAGGTGTTCTGTAGTTGAATAGGAAGAGCCTGTCTAAAAAAACTACTGCCCCACTTCAAACTGCAGTGTTATGTCACCTAGGCATCATCGCTCCCTGCCCCTAGTATTTGATTACAACGAATCAGGGGGGTGGGTGGTGGGAAACTTTCTTAGACACACTGGCACCAAGGTAAGAGGTGAGGCTGCCCAGGCAAAGTCAGTGAACATGAAAAATCAGACAAAGCAGAGATGGAAATAATGCGCCTCTTGAGGAGAAAAGCAATAATGAATAAAAAGACTTTCCTACAATAACTTCACTGAGGACTCACGTTACCAGTTTTCATACTTACTAAAGGGATTGTAAGAAACACCCCAGCATTTTAGATGTCTTGGTTACATTTCCAGCATTGAGGTAATCTTTCTGCTGTTTGTTGTCCTGCTTGGTTGAGTACCACAATGAAAGATTCTGCTCCCCCTTTTCCTATTTGAAAACAGTTATTTGGTGGCTAGGATGGCAAGGGAGGCATAGCAGGGAATTAACTCTTGGGTTAATGGGTCAGTTCTCCTTGGAACTGAGTCAGTGGCAAGGGAACGCTCCCCAAGGAAAGACTAATGTGGTGCTAGTTTCCTCTCTTAAAGAGCCAAGAATAGACAACTCTCCAGTAGGTTCCTCACAGATTTAACACCCTGAACTGTATGAGGAACCAGTGGTTCAGTGACATCTGCAGAGATGTTGAACCCACTCATCTTGTACTGAGGATGAAAGGAAACTATAGTTCCGTCACTTCTTCTAATGATGAGTCTTTTTTGCAACTGACAGAGTACACAGTAAACAAAGCAATACATCACCAACAAGATTCTATCATAGAAAAAAGCAATCAAATTTTTTCCACACTAAAAGCTGTTTTTTATTTTCTTTTTTTTCCCAGCTTTATGTGGCTAAGGGACTTGGTGAGGTTTCATTGTTGTTGTTCATGTTGTTGTTAAGAATTTTTATAGCTTAGATAGAAAATGTCTTCAACAAAGGCCTTTGAAATATATTTTAATTACAAACACTTGATTTGGGGAATTGCACAAATTAACCTCACAATCTTACTCTTGCTCAGTTGTAAAATGTTTGAACATGCTAGAATAATTTCTGGTTGCAAAATTATCCTTTTAAGGATTATCTTCTATTTCAGACCACTTGGTTCTGATGAAGGAAGAGGTATGAACACTGAAACAAGAAAGAACTGTGTTGGGTGGTATGAAAAATTAATTTTTAAAGATGTTTTAGCAAAAGCATAAAATTTTTCAGGTCAAATTCTGTCTTTAAAAAATATGTGCTCTTTAAAAAATATATTTTCTGCCACATCTAAAAAAATTCACCAGGCAATTTCCCTCCAACAAGGGCTGCAATTCTATTGAGAAGTACCTCCTTTGGCTACACAATCTACTACCCGCCAAGCACTGGGGTGTGGGAGGGTTGTTGTTTTTTTTTACCAACTGGAAATTTTTTTATCTGTACTGTATGCACCTCCTACTTCACTGTCTTTGACCAGGTTTCTTGATGCCAACAACTGGTCAGTGGCAAAGATCAGAGAGAGTGGCAAACACAGCCATGAACTCTATGCTAATCCCAGAACATAGTTGGCAGGTAGTAGATGAATCACTCAGGTAAAGTGTAGATTTGATTTAATTCTGTCTGTGCTCATCCGAAGGACCTATCCATTTCTTTGCTGAGAGATGTCTTGGGAGTGTTGCAGGTAGAAATGATGATTAAAATTCATAGAACTGACAGGAAGTGGGAGCCTCCTGAGTTACAGCTTGGTTTAAATTTAGCACAGAACTAAATGATCTGCTCCTCTCAAATAACATAGGAAAGATTCAAGGAAATGAGCTTTACTTCTTACCTTCTGAAAGTGGAAACCAGACTGAGAAGGTAAGTTCAATGATAAAGCGTGACTGCAGTATGCCATTCCGCCTTCTAAAGAGGAATCCAAGCACCAGTGAGTGACTAACTTGCTGATAGATGAGACATGGTTAAACCAGGCCCTTGGATCTGAAACTTAATTGGGTGCTTGGCTTGGAACACAGCTGAATCTCCTTGGTGAGCTTTCTAAAAGTGTTTTCCCATGGAAAGGAAAGTGGTTTGGGACAATAGAAATTTTTTTTGTTTGTTAGTTTGTTTTGTTTTAGGGATAAGACACCATTTCATCTATGTCCATTTCTAGCCTCTTCATAAAAGCACAGTACATGATGAACAACAGAATAAGAAGGTAGAGTCCTAAAGAGATTGTCAAAGTGCTCCCTAACTAAAAGTGTTCTTTGATTTTCTATTTGAAGCTGTTGGGTTTGCACCTGGGGTTCTGTGTATGTTTGTGAATGTGCCTATTGCTGCCATGGTTTCAGAAGCTGCAGTAGACATGACTCTCTTTGCATTGTAGAGACTGATGTCAGGGGAGTTTTGAAGGATTCGAGGAAAAGTTAAGAGGTTCCAACTGCGATGCCCCTTCTCATGTTCTGATCTGAAGATGTTAGGGAAACAATTCCCACTGCCCCACTCCACTCCTACCCCCTCCTGTCAATCTTGCATGGGCTGGGGAAAGCCTGCTTGATACCTTGTCAGTAAGTTTTGTTGAGGCATTTGGTTGAAATTCCAAATGGCTTTACCATAAAGATTGTAGTAATGCCTGCCATTACTTTTACAAAACACTATAGGACACTTCGTTTCAAAAACAGTTCAATAGCAATAACATAGCTCCTTTTTTTACTTTTTCAAGATGGACTCTTTTCGTTCACTTTAAAGTTTAAGTGGGAAATAGCAAGCCTGTAGTCTGGGAAAATAACTTACAAAATGCTATGCTGTTTACAAATGCCAGTTCCAAGTGATGACAAAGGCCATTTTCATTGCGGTTAAAATTAGGAATAGCTTTATGCAAAGACTCTCTTTTTTTTTTCTTTTTTTTTAAACTACACCTTTAAAAAATTTTTTTTAGATTTTGAATTACCATTTGTATTTTAAACATAAATATAATTCTGCACTTTGAAATCAGTTTGTTGGAATGATGACCTGTATATGGAAAAAGATGCAGTATTCTTTATTCTTTATTTATTATATTTACCAAAGCTGCAATCGAATAAATTTGCTCGGGTGAGGCCTTGAAATGTATTGCTACGCCTTTGTTGTTGTGACTGCTTAGCAATGTAGCCATGATGTTGTTATAAAGGTGTCTTAGCATTTCTAGTTAGGAGTGACAAAATTTAAACAGTGTTAGGAATACCGACATCCATGTTTCACTGAGAAGTACAGTCCATGTGTAAGGAACTAAGGTGATATACTTTCATAATTATCATAGGCCCTGGACGCCTTAATACTCATAGCCCAGATTCCAGTATCAGATTTATGCTCTTTACTGATTCCTGTAAATTTAGCAGGTAAAATGTGTTTAGTTATCACTTCATTTATCAAATCTCTTGCTTTAGTTTTTCTGAGATAGTGCATCTCATAAGAAAATTTTTACAATTTAATTTTTGTTTTGTTTTGCTTTATTTTAGAAAAGGGGTTCAGTAAGTCATGTCTTCCAGATTATATTTGTGTTTATCCCCAGACTTCCTTCCACTTGTGCAGGCACACCCCCAGCACATGAACATGTGTACACATCTGGATAGGCAGCCAGTTGGCTGTGCACACTTAAAAAGTATCAACAAGGAATTTTTTTAAAGAAAAAATTTGTAATAACCCATGCTGCCTAGAATATAAGTTATTTACCGTATTAGAAAATCAGCTTATAATGCTCTCTGTGACTTTGCCTGCATTTTATAGTTAAGAAATGTACATAAAACTAAAAATGCTATATTTTCACAGTTTCATTATAGAGCAATGTCTTTGAAGAAACCATGCCCATTGGTACTTTAAATATGCTAAATACTGAGCAATGGCAATAGAAATTCAGATTTTCATAAGAAAATGAAATAGGAGGATACTGCATCTTTAAAAACATAGATTGACGTTATTTTACTGTATTCGTAACATGTGATAGTAGAAAAAAATATTTTCAAGCTCACAAATTTTACAGAGGTTGTAAATAGTTTGATGAAGTATGTTGGGGAAAAGAGCCTCTAGTTTTCATCACAATAAAAAGAAAAAGAAAAAAAAAAAAAACTTGTTCAGATATGCCTTGTATATCTTCCACACAATTAGCCGTATTTCCATGGAAACTCAATTGTTCCACTTTGTCAGAGCACGTTCCATGTCTTCACAATGGAGTGGCCACTTGTCTTGATTTAACCGGGATGGTTTAAAACACAATGAAGTCATTCTGAGTTGCAGACAACTGATTCCAAATTCAAACTGTCTTTGTCTACAAGGGGGAATACAGCTGCACACGATTTTACTTGTGCTAATTTTCTGTTACCTTTCTCCTTTTACAAAGTGGTTCTTGATAGCAAAATAAATAAATAACAACATACAGGTGTTTATATTTCAGAGTGAGTACTTCTACGCATAGTTACGTGTTGACAAGATTAAGTGCTATGAATATGGCCACATGTT